TTCATTACCTTGGAAGGCAGAGGGAGAAGATATACTTGGCGGTAGTTTGAGGGCGCAGTCCTGCCTCGACTTCGTGAATCGAGGTTATTATACCGAGTTTCCATATGGCAGGGACTTGGTCCTGGTCTAAGGAGCGCTTACAAGACTGAGCCAGTTTCCACCAGTTGTCTTGCTACTGCTCCCAGTGCGTTTAGGAGAAAGGTATCGATACCCGGACAGTTGTGGTTACGCAGAGACATCAGCCTTTTCGATACAACTTCGAAGAGCCAACGACATACAGGTGACTACTGGAGCAGTGACAACAAAAGCTGGAAGATCGCGTGGTTATAAAACCCACCGAAACGTGGGAGCATATCGCGTCCGCAACGTGTTTGGTTCTGGTCTAATCAGCGCTGGAAGGACTGAGCCAAAGTTGCTGCTAGTTGTCTTGTTGCTGCTCCCAGTGCTTCTAGACGAATGGCATCGACACCAGGGGAGCTATGAGTGCGTAGAGGTCAGTTTCTGTAATGCAGCTTCAGAAGTAAAAGAGATGTAGGTGAATCCTGGAGGGGGGGACAATAAATGCTGGAAGATCGCCTGAATGTAAAACCCACTGAAATGTAGAAGCATATTGCGTCTGCAACGCGTTTGCTGCTTTCATAACCGTTCTTGTTGGGCCATCAGCCGTCCGGAATGGAAGAATTCTCTGTCTCACCCTCCGAAGACCATTAACATGCTAGTATAACAGTGCAGTTAGCACTGAAATTTTCACCATGTTGCGCTGGTATGCGGCTTTGTCTTCCCTGAGCAAATGAGTGCAGTATTTTAGCTGGACCGCATAGTTGTCCCTTATACATGGCTTTAGAGATACTCTATAGTTTCTATACATTGCGTTGCGCACTATCATCTATTTTTGGGTTCTGCTGCTTACGATATAAACGGTTTCAGACCCAGAGGCAACACATGTCTCTGAAGCATACGTAACCAGTTGATTGAACTTTCTGATGAATTCGAGTCAGGCGACTTCAAGAGAGGGGGATTCGTTAAGGAACGACTAGATGGTGGCACTGAAGATGAGATAAGCTGTCCTACCGTGTGATGGTGCGCATCGTCCCAGTGTTCTCGTGACGATATTCCGCATAGCAGACGAAGTAGAAACTGTTGACTGCATGATCGCTGTAAACCAAAAAGCAGTCTAGAATTAATGCATCAAGTTAATGTCTTTTATCGGTGAACACAAGATCTAGCAAAGATGGTCTGTTACCTGTCATGGAACCAGTTGGCCAAATGAGCTAACTGTAAATTTGGACACTGGCTACGAACTACTACAGATCGTCCTTGATTTCTTCTGCGATCGTAACAAGGGCTTCTAAGTAACGTGCCTTGAATTCAACCATGATAAGCAGGTGTGTTTCCCTTGAAATTACATCTTAAAGCATTCGCAAGTTGGCAGTCCATTTCAGATGTAGAGTTTGGGGAGCGGTACTCCAAAGCTATTAGGCACGTGTTGCTGCATATTACTTGCAAGTGGAAGCAAAGAGAATCGGGGGACTGCGAGTCTGAATCGTCTGTCTCGCAATGTAAATCGCTTCGGAAATACAGAACTACCCCTCCCACCTTTGTAAGCCTGTCGTTGCGGATGAGTGATATGCCCGCGGCGCGACTTCAGCGTCCGTTCTTCAAGCGTGTAGCCATGTTGCCTTGATACCAATGATATGCATAGCTTGGAAATTTGGTGATCTTTCAGTTACGCACGCCTACTGTAAAGGCCTTGAGCACTAGTAAAAAGGCATGACGTTTTCTCGGTATTTAGGAGCTCACAGTAGCTAAAGGCGTCAGGTGTGTGAGAATGCCGACCAATGTGAGGTCGGTCGTTATTTGTTTTATTGATGGGATAATGACATTACCCGCAGCTTGATTTGGCCAAGGTACTTCCAATTCCTCGTCCGGACCTACTACAGAATCGCACGAACGAGTGATAAAGTGAAGTTCCTGTTTATTGGCTGGCAGGTTTGTTTTTTCAGATAAATTAATATCTGGTCTTAGTAAGGTTACTGCGGCTTTTAGACGTAGTTCACATGGAAAGCATTTCCGAATTTTCCGTTGCTATTCGATCTGATTGAAACAGAAGTTTTTGGAGCCTTGGGTCGCATCTTCTATGGTTTGGTAAAAGGTAGCCTTTTGAGCGAACGCGCCAGGACATTATCCAGGAAAAGTTTTTCTCGAATGAACCAACACTGATCCAAATCGTGAGTCCTGACCTCCTGACGATCATGAGAAGGAAGCTATGGCATGTTATGGGTGAAGCTTGTTTCTAGGTGAACTCACTTATTGCATCTTTCCGAGATGCTTCTTTTCGTTTGTCGCGTGCTCCAAGGGACGTCAGGATAGATTCCATAGGATTTGTGTCGTAGCGCACTTGTAAAGAGTAAACGTTTTCCTACATGAGTGGCGGGTTCGCAAGTCCACTAAGTCTGCGTTAGCCGTAGTGTACGGAGTTCGGATGAGTATTTCGTGGGCTCGGATTTCCTCTTCGTTAAAATGCACTATGAGGTAAATCAGGAGATCTGCGTGCGCACAATAGCCAGACCGTCTGTTACAGCTCGGCCCGTACTGAACCATGACATTTGGTAGAACGCAGTATTTGACCCGTAGCGCAGGAAAGTAGAACACGTCAGTGTCAGCAGTACACAGAATATATTGTGTCACCATAAACATAACGCTTCACATAAGTTCAGACAGTCTAATAAATGGTTAGCTGGCGTTAACAGACACACAGAGGGACTCTGGTGGACCCAGTCAACAGGAACAGTTTAATCGATAACTAGCTTGGTGTTGGACGGACACACTGCCACACCGTCATCGTTGGATCATTTTTTGGGGGTACAAGATTGAGTGGTTGTTGGTCTTGGCTTTATGCCAGGTGATTACAATCTATTGCTTGCCTCTCTGTACGCCTTAGCAGTGCTTGCAACAGGGGAGACCGTAAATGTGACAGCCGGAGTGATCTTTGGAACAATCGCCACATAGGTGACTGAATTCCCTGGAGACTTGGACTCGTTCAGAAACCATTGATTTGCAGATGCAGAAGACTGCTTCTCGGCTGTCCCATCAATGTTAATGATTGCTGTTTAAACTGGAAGAGGTTGATCGATCACACGCTTCGGGTGGTGCCTGATTTTCGTGGTTCTGAGTACAGCTTGACTATCAGAGCCCCGGTCTGTTTTGTATGGGGTTGTTCAAAAGTAGGAAGAAATAACGACAGTGGGGACCTTCCTGGTCGTGGACCGCGTGAAACAAATTGTGCACCACTGCATTGTCTAGAGGTCACTACGTCTGTGTCGAAGCGACTTTTGAGGCTCTGAACTAGCCAGCCAATCTGACAGCGCACATCCGGCTGTTCATCGGGATCCAATCGAACAAAATAGTCTCAGCCCGGGAGATAAGAGCAATACCCACAATGGCTTGAATGGTATTTGAAACTGCTTCATCTCCTGACAAGCGCAATGAGAAAATACAGCTAGTGTCGCACATTGGGGAACTCGACTCCTGCAGGTGAGGTTGTGACAAGTAGGAGATAACGATTGATAGGATCTCCAGTGTTCAGGTAAGTGCTGCTAGTTGGCCAATCTACAACAAAGTGCGCAAATTGTGGCATGCAAGCGTTAGCGAGGATCGAGGGGGTAAGATAGCAGTTAAAGTGACGTTATCCATTTGGTTGGACATGGACCTGTCGATTGGACCGGGGCGATGCCCTTCGATTGTGTGTGAGTCAAAACTAGAAGATAAACGATTACTGAACACAGAGGGGGGGGACAAAGGATTAGGGGGGGGGGTGAAAACAAGGGGAATAAAAGTGAAGTTGGAAAGCGGCGTTAAAGCTGGAAAAGAGGAAGAGGAGGATAAGAAGACGGGAAAGCTTGAGTGGCAGCATCCAAACCCCCTATCCACTCTGCTCGATGCAGCAGACAGGGAGTCGTTTATTATCCTTCGCGACAGCCAGAGCGTCAAGGGATTGATTGAAGGAAAATTTATTGTATTGTGTGCGCAGAATGAGGTCAGGTTGCGCAGACATAGTCAGGAGAAAGCTTAGGTTTCGCAACTAAAGTCTTTGATTCAAAAACCTAACCGTAAGGTAGCAGGATTTCCGCACCGGGCTACACGGAGTCCGTTTTATGAAGTAAGGAGCCCCCACTCTAACCCTCAACCTGGAGGGCCAGGAGACTGAGGTTGTCTGGCCTATAACAATTGACCAATATGGTAGGAGTGGATATGAAGGTGTAAAAGCACCACCCAGCATAGGCCAATGGATCACTAAGGAACGCAAACCATCGTACCACGTTGAGGTCCAGTCACGTCGCGATGGGATACAACGGGGAATAGTGATTGCACCCGATACAGGAAGCTAGCGCGGACCTTTCCTGGAATTATCGATAAAAGCACACGTAGCCATCATTCGCCTAGGTATCATCGCCCAATACCACCTCATTTGGGAGAACGGAGTGGACATCACTCAATTGATAATGAAGCTGGGGTAATCATGGCCCTAAGTGCGTCATTAGGGAGAACAATGTACTCGACAAACAAATAATGCTTGATTCTTCCGTATAGTAAAGGTTTGTGATCAAATCAATGTGAGAATTTGTAAGCAACTGCTGATCTCACGTTTCGTGGGGGAGCAACCGCAGATACCTTCCCTATGTGTCGTTTTCCTCAGTGGATATGAGCAAGAGTGCAACCAATCAAAAACTTGGCACTTAATAAGCACTCCGTTGTTTGCCTAGTTCCCCACCTTAACAAAGAGAAAAGTGGGGTTATCGGTGCAAAATCCGAAAACTATCAACAGCCCGTGGCACGCTCACCGGTAACGCACAAGCAGCAAATTTGCCTCTTTGCCTAAAACACCCCTCAGTGTTAATGATCTATGATTGTCTACAGCGCACAATTGTTTGTGGAAGGCATCCACGCGGATAAATTTTCGTACTATTGTTCCACAACCGGGGGCGAAGGAGACGCCGCTTGTAGAGCAAGAATTTTTTTATGGCACAAGTAAAAAGTAACGCAAAATAGTTCACATCAATCAAATCCGTTATGTGTGGATGATATTGTCCAAGCGTCACAAAAATTTCACTGTTCCAGGATCAAGCACAACAGGGAATCGAATGGAAGGACGAGTAACGAGTTGTAGCATCCGAAGTATGTCAGAAAAACAAGACAACAAAAATAGCCTGACGTCGCGATCAATAATCGCACATGAGACCATCGTGGGAACAAGTAGATGCGGATGGGCAAAATGTTTCCGAGGCAGGAGAACAGCAAGTAGCCTGGGAGAAGAAAAATGGCACGTTATGGATCAGTAATGTGGGAATTATCATTGAAATGGTGAAGTGTATGTATTCTATGTCACTACTTTTAACCCTTAGCCGATTTGCTCTACGTTGTGATATTACAACTGGAAAACGCAATAAGACGATTACCAACCTATACGAAGCAAACTACTCTCCCGCTAAAGAATATTCGAATCTTTTAAGTGCTAAGGTGCATATCAATGGGATTTTCAGAAATCACTCCATAAACGCTGCTGGAACCATAGTGGGATATGATTTTCCTTCGTGTATGCAACTAATCGATGGGGCCATAGTAGATAAATGGCTTATCGCCCTGGACAAAGGCGATATAAACACATGTATGAATCCGAGTGCTACTGTAGATAAGTGATGAGGCGGAAGGCGACAACCTGCCATGTCAAAGGTACTAAAATCCGGGGTGATGAAAGTTATGGAGTGATGTTCCACCATCCGGGAAGTTATTGCTACTGAATAGCACAAAGCATAGGAATACTGAACTGCTTAAAGTAGGAAGTAACGGTAGAAGCAAAAAAACCGAATGCACGTGTAGTTTGATGAGGACCGTATGCCATAAATTCCGCAGTGAGATAAAGTAATGGGATAAGAGCCCGACCGCTAAAGGGGTGGGTTCATAATGGTTGACGGGAGATTAAGGTGAATTAAACGATATGCCAATATAGGAGTAATTCGAAAAGATTGATGGGTAGAGCACACCCGTATTGATATTTTCGACACGACGAAAAGGCGGTGGGAAATGCGATTGATCAGGCGGTACCATAAAAGTGTAAAAAACGGAAGGAGCAGAGCATTGAGGCCTAATAAATGCACAACAACATTCAACATTAGATGGAAGTTATGAGATTATTCAATCGAGGAGTAAAGCTGAAATGTTTGTGACTCGAGCCATAACCGATGGACGAAGGATTCAAAGAAGGAAGGCAAAAAGGGGGATGGCAGACATCCTCGGTCAGGGAAGTTGAGAGGCAAGAGTCCAACGTGTAGGACTGTCAATTTGATAGTCAGCAGACTTACCCCAACTGGAGCACAGGTATAGCCATGTTTGTTTGAAGGACAGCACTGTTCGTCTGAGGGACAGTAGCGTTCTCTATCGGGGCAAACGGTGACCGCGTCATGCCACAAATAGTAATAAAAATCAAGTCTGAATAGAAAATTGGAAGCACAAAGTTAGAGACCAATGAAAAAAGACAGTTCGGCTTCAGAAGTCAGTCAAAACCATATTAATATTAGCATCATGATCATCATCATCATCATCATCATCATCATCATCATCATCATCATCATCATCATCATCATACATGGTAGCTGGAAGGCAGAAATGTTCGAGCGTTTGTGTAGGGACGCAGTGCAAGTCCATGGTCGTAAAAGAAAAAATAAAATTAGAAATAACAAGAAAACTAATAACATTATACTTTGGTTTGCGATTACGTAACATTAGTGAGATCGTAATTGGAAGTGCAGCCAAGGTGGGAGGAGGTGGAACAAAGAAATCCACAACAAAAATGCCACTGAGGCCGGCTCTAGGTCATATCAACCAAGCGTGTTCATCATCTCTCGGGCCCCAACAAGGAAGTAGGGAAGCAGACATCTACCGAGGTCTAATTCGAGGCGACAAACTTTATTCCCGTTGGCTGATCCATCAGTTGTTAGCCTCCCTCCCCGCTCGATCCAAATCACAGTCGCACAAACAACGAACGTCGTGGGGAGTCGGTGTGCTGGCATGCGTAACGCGTGGCTCAGTCGTCTAGTGCGCGATCCTGAGTGTTTCACTTCCTCTTCCCATACCATAGACAAGACGCCGAACACACTCACTGCTTCCGCAGTGTGTTTGCATCAGACGTTAACTGACTTGCAAAGGTACCTGTGGTCAAACGCAACTAGCCGTTTTACGTATGGCGATTTGAACGGTCAGGTGCCGTAAGCCTACTATATGCGTGAACAGATGGCAGTACCTTACAAAACAACGGTGATATCGCACTGGCGTCATCAATGATAAAGATTGGTGAAAAGGCCGAGCTTCAAAATGTAGCTTTTGATTGTATCCTGTTCACAGATGTTGATTTAGCTGGCCAGGTAGTCGTAGCAAGAATTAATAAACGACCAGAGTTTCATTTGGACTAAATACTCCAAGCCCAACTTTGCGATGTAAAGTTATTTCACTGGGTTGGAAAACAGATGGATCAACTCACAAAAACAGAGGATCAAGCCGAGCTCGACTAGTCTCTTTGGCGATTAGAAGATTGAAGGAGTGTGGCTGAAGATGAGCAATAAAACTTGGGGCTTTGCCATCGACCGACTTAGCAGCGATTAGATACGGAGCCAAACTCATTACCAGATCATCAAGGGAATCTTCGCAGTGACCGTCGCCTGTGCAGCGCGTTCCTCTCGGACAGCAGTGTTCGCCATCCGAACAGCAAATACCCTGTGAGGACAGATAAGTGACCAAATTCAGCAAACAGAATACAAACGCTATGAAGTATGATAAGGAGGAAAAGATTACAAGAGTCTATCATCAAAGAACGATTAGCTCGTCGCGCCAGTGAAATCTGTAAAAATGGAATACACTAGAAAGTCTGACGGCCATCGAACAATGTCAATGCGGGAGGTTAGTCACACCTTGTCTTTGCTAATGATGTAGCGCATACAAGGAAAGTTCACATCGCAACCAATGCATCATGCCGCGACTTCAAAATGGTGCAACTACTTAGCTGGAGTTCCAGAATAGAGATTGAACCACAACAGCGTCAGATACCATGAGTGGAGTTGGATACTCTGTCGCAAAGTGAAGGATCGAAAAGATTTAATTCGAGCAGTGGAAGATGACCCCGGTGTGGTCGACTGGAACGATAGGTAAACAGTAACTGGACCAAAATGAACGTTGAATCAAGCACTCGAACGACTGAACAGGTCTACTGCATTTGCAGAGTTTGGTGAGCCACCAAATTCACCTTAGAAATCCACGATGGGATTCCCAGCATCGAAGTACAACACAACGGGGGAAAAGGCATTCTATGCTTACCAACTTCAGCAGTGAAACGAGACGATAATCCAGCTGCGAGTTGTCTGCCTGCTGTTGCGAATATTAGAGTAAACAGAGTGAAGGGACTTAATAAAGTGGCCTGCGATTGACATAAGCCAAGATAAAAGCTGGAGAGCTGTGTGAAAATGTGGTGTGATATTAAGTATCATCACCTAAAAGTACCCAAAATACTTCTCAACCATCGGGGCTGAATGGCTAAACGTTCTCAGTGGGCAGACGCCACGATCCTTCTTCATAAGTGCCTCAGCCTTCGGAAAGCATTACAAATCTTATTAATATACTGTGTAATTCATTCGGTGATTTGTCTACTGGCTACCCAAATACTTAAACCAATCGAGTGTTTCGAACTGTAGTTAGGTGATAAAGGGAATCGGTGTGAGCCGCCCAAGCATTTTTCAAGATATTGAAACACATATCCAAGGGAGTAGCACGAGTCTTTTCAGTAACATTTGTGAAGCAGATGTCTCTGAGTAGAAGGGAATTAGGTCATCCACACAGCCTGTGTTTGACATTCTTTCGTCCAACAGGACATTAACCATATGAGAAATGAAAGGTGGCGGGAAAAGTACATCCATAGTCACCGAAGAAATGGGGCAACCCTGGTGCCCATCACCTGTCATGATGAACGCAAGGGTTTCACATAAAGGCGGTGAAAGATTTTAGCATAGAAGAGTTGCTCCAAGGTAGACGCCATCACAAAAAGGTGCGGTTAACGAATGGGGCTGGCTTTAAGTCAAGAAAGACGATTACGATAAGTTGTTTGTAAAATGGCGACGTCCAAACATTAGAGAGCAAAATTGTGACCGATGGACTCTTTATCGGTCGGCTCGTAGCCTAGAGGTAACGAGCTTGTCCCGTAATCTTGCGGTGCAGGTTCGAATCCGTGTATGGATGGACGTTCTTGTGGTAAACTCAGCCCGCGTGCGACTGGTAGTGGTCGCATGGCAGCAAAGCGTCGTTACAACGTGCAGCTGACACATTATATTATTATTTACTATTTATTGGGGCCGAAGCCACCCTGACATTCACTTAATCGTGTTATATGAAGATAGGTGAATCGCCACAGTAGGATGCGTTAGTGGCCATCGAAAGACGTACACGTCTCCTCTTTTTAGGATTAGCAGTGGCGTTAGATAACCGATGGCCGGAACGCATGTCCCGGTTGCTCAAAACGGCGTCGAACAGAGAGGCTAAGACTTTTGCTAGTGAGTCACCATTGTATTTCATGCCGAGTTGGTGGATGGTTGTGTGGGCCAGGTGCTCTGTTCCGACTCTCGTATTCCTTGCATGTTGATGGAATTCGCAAAACCGCCAAGAGTTGGCTCGTGTTAAGTACCTCCAGTGCGAATGAATGTGCGGAAGCGAGTCATATCCACAATAAGGGGCCACATGATGCTACCAAGCGTTGACTGTTCCTTACGTCTATTTAGCAAAATCAAGCTACCTGTCGTCTAATATCAAGACCAGAGATTGCAACTCGCTTTTGGTCAAAGCAATTCGCTCTTTCTGTCACCCGCTCATTTGCAGGAAAAGAGAAATAGCCGCAATTTTCCTGGTGGTTCAAGTGGACTAAATATTTAGATGACACACTGATTAGACGTGTGAATTTGTCAAGTCCTCATCGAGATTTTCATTGCAAGTGACGAAGTACAGCGAGAAGAGAGACGGATTAGTTGTAAAATGGAAGCGGAGGACAAAAACGGTCACAAAAATATGCAGTAGGAACAAAAAGGAGGCAAAACTCTAAACAGGCATGATACGCACCGCTGCTGCAGGACAACACATTTGATTTCGGATACCCTTGGCGTTGGGACAACAAAACCAGTCATTGGCACAATATCCGCACCATGTGGCGTGCACTACGTCAGTTGAGTTCACAGTGTCTGATGGAGATTGCGTCAGATGCGCGGGAGGACTGAGTGCAGAGATCATTTTCTCAGCAACGAGAGTGGTACGTTGAAATGACGACTTCAAATGATGAACACATTGGCCATGCTCTGTGCAGGTGCTACCGGCTGGACAACAATGCCTTTTGTCTGAACAACATGTGCCCTATTGAGGCAAAGGAATGGGTGTGTATCTATTAAAGCAAGGGAAAAGACTGGAAAGGTCCAACGAACGGAAGCACTCACGATGCTGTTAGACAAGATGAGGGGATGGAATAGAAATTCTAACTCCTCTACGAGACGGGGATTCCAGCCTAAGCGAATCAGAATGATATAGGCTTAGTCACGAGGTCATAGTAGCGTGCTGGAATGGGAACGTTGATGTACATGGAAAATGATGGCAATTGGGAAAGATACAAGGGATAAGTAGAAGAACGAATGGTGAAAATCTTACATTTGCGAATGGACAGCAGCCGAACGACCCATCAATCAGAGAGCAGCATGTGCGATCTGCTTCGCAGGAGGATTTTCCGTCGGGGCAGGAAACTTCGCGTTTGGGTAAGGCATGTGGCTAGGTGGGTGGAAAAAGGAAGGGCGATCTTGAGGACGGGAATAAGAGTAAAAAACAAGTGAAACACTGCGAGATTGTGACGCACACAAAGCGTATTGGAAGAGCACATGTATACCGCCAAGAGAGGTCTGTGTTCCGCAGAACGGAATAGGTGTTGAGTGATCAGACAGACAAGTTCCCAAATATTCCAGAGAGAGCAGTTAAAAACAGCAATTGGTGACGAGCTGGCGCGTCAGATGCATCACCCACCAAAGGTAGTAGAGCCACTGGAGTGTCAGCGAAGCCGGACCACGCGTAAGCCAAATAGGGGGACGTTTGAATCATGGAAATACCTCTGACTGAACGCACACGTGTCACTGATACCCGAACTAACCAAGTTAGATTGCGCAGTTAAGCAAGCACATTCAGAGTGATGATTAGGGATCAAGCAGTCTTGACCAAAGTCAAATAGGGGAAGTCCGAAAAACTGTGAACAGATGGAGCGGGACGGGTGGACACCTCAAAGCAGTCTGATCGATCAAGCGTGACAACAATCGAATACAAGAATGTAGCACATCACTAAAAAGTGAGAACGGAAATGAAGAAACTGCTAATGCTAGTGTCTGGATAAAGAACACAACAAATGGTTCAGTGTGGCTCAAAAGAGCTTGTTAAAGCACAGTGACATTAGTAGTACTGGGCAGGGAAGAAATCTAGAGGATAGATGGCCAAAAGCACGCTGCCAGGGTCCCCAACCGACAGCGACCATGTCTGATTTGTGATGATAACGGAAGTGGTATGGAGGTATTCACCAAGGTTTATATTCATAGCTTTCTCTGTCTTTGCTGATGTTTCTAGAGAGATTGTCCCGTCAGCATTTCCATTCCAAAACCGGAGATTAGCGATCATAACAACACCTATAGAGTCCAACGTGGCCTGTATAAGAGTATTTTTCACAAGGCCAACCTAGCGGTGTCCTACGACGTATACCTCGACCTTACAAAACCAAAGAACTGTTGCAGGACTGAACGGACGCACCACCAGCCCACGCAAACACAAATCAATCGTTCAAAGCAGGTGATCAGCTGTGCGTCCAGTTAATTGTAGCATTGAACGTGCGTCCGCATGGGCGGAGCACTTAGCTTCTGTATTTGCAAGTGGGCGTGCGCCTATGCCCAGCTCGAAGTGTGCAGCCCCTACTGAACTCGATGGCCTGGATTGCGGTGTGGAAGATGTCCACAGTCTAACGGACAGTCTTGGCGGCACGAAACCTGCCGGAACGGATGGACTTCACCCGCTTATTTTAAAGTCCTTATCGACCATTATTTCGCCTAGTGTAACGGATCTGTGCGACAGATCGCTGTCCGAGGGTGCATTGCCGTGACTGGAAATGCCCGGTAGTGGAGCGGATACCCAAAGGTGGTAACTTACGCAATGTGGACAATTACCGGCCGATTTGTCTTACCACTGTTTTGATAAAGGTGCTCGAGAAGATTGTAAAAAAGTGTCCTCTCCATCTGCTGGAATCGAAAGACCTCCTAACGCCGGCACAGCTCAATTTCAGGAGAGGTTGTTCGTGCATCACCAACCTGCTGTTGACACTGCAGGAATGGTGGCTAGCGATGAACCGGGCGAAGTCAGTGGATGTTATCTATATTGGCTGGCTTGCTGAACAACCTCCTCGTGGTGCCAGCTGGGTGGTTCCGGCATTTCCGGTTCCAGCAAATGGTTCAACGGCAGTGTTCCAGGAGGTGGTGGGTTTTCGCCTGAAAAGCGTTCTCCCTATAAAAAGCCACAAATGTCTGTTTAACAACACTGTGACGTGGCGGATGTGACTCGCCACTAAATAAAGTCACTGCCCCTTGCCGCTTCCTGAGAGGCATTGTACTTCAAGTGTGTTGGGCCTCTGGTCCTTCACGGACCGAAAGGCGTATGAACCACCTATTTGGTCACCGGCTCCCAACGGGTTGCGACGCCCTTACATCGCCTTGCTGCGTTGTAGGTTAGATCTTTGATAAAAAGAATCGGGGTAAGGCCTCCTAAGACTACCCTCTATTTCGGCCTGGGCAACCGGGTAGTATCACGCTCACTGACGAATCATAGACCACACTGCTAACTACCGCTCCTACTATGCTTATTTTCTATGCTTACTCAACTGCTCAACCTCCACTCATAGATCACTCCACCTCCCGTCCTTCACCCACATGTATTCTTATGTCTTCTACGGTCACCGTCACAAACGACCCACGTCTCGCAGCTGATGGAAGCAACAGCCAAACTCCCGGTTTTCAATGTCCTCCGATCGCAACCGCCTCTCACTCCACCGAAGCTCCAGCTCTTCTTCGACCTGGTTCTCCATTCATCCTCGCAGCGTTTAATGTTCGAACTTTGATGCAGAGCAGACGACAAGCATGTCTGGCCCGTACTCTTGAAACGCTATCGGTAGACATCTGTTGTCTTTCAGAGACCAGATTAAAGACTCTAACGCCGTCATCAGAATGGCCTCTCCGGTAAACTCTGACGTCAAATACTATTTGCGGCTTTCCGGAGACCCAGAATCTGCCGGCACTGGTCAAGCTGGTGTCGGGGTTGTATTAAGTGCCAGGGCTGAATCAGCTCTGCTTGACTGGATCCCAGTCAACAGTCGGCTATGTGCAGTCAGACTAAGAGTTTCATGTAACGTAAGCAGGCGTCGAGATGTTAAGCGTGCCTTGTTTGTCGTCTCCGCCTACGTCCCTACAGACTGCAGCCCGGATGCAGTTAAAGATAGCTTCTACCAACAACTACATGAACTTCTGCGTTCCTCCAAAAGGACGGATAGAGTCATTCTTGCCGGGGAATTTAACGCACGGGTTTGCCGCCTTCTCCCAAGCGAGCACCACATTGGAGGCAGTTTTGGTCCCGGTGGCAGTCGATCAGACAATGGAGACACACTGCTTGCTCTTTGCTCTGATCATCGCTTGTTTCTTTCAAACACTAGTTTTCGACACTGGAGGTGACACACTGCTACCTGGCGTCTGCCTCACAAACGCAAGAGTGCTCCCAGCTTGACCACATAGCAATCAGCTACAGATGGCTCGGAAGCGTAACGGACTACCGATCGTACTGGTCAACTTATCTAGACTCCGATCACGAATTGGTTCGTGCTAAGATTTGCATGCGTTTTGGAGGATCATCTAAGCGCGCTCACTACCGACCGGACGTCGCAGATCTACAAACCCTTGCGATTTTTACCAGGTACCAAGCCTCACTGCCAACTTTGTTTGGCTCAACTACTGACGGTGATCTCGATTCGCAGTGGGCGTAGATGAAAGATGCTTTAGTTTCCGCCAGTATCGATACTTGTGGAGTTGCTCGTCACTCACCGAAGCATCGGATTTCCGCCGTTTCCTTGTGGCTGATGGACAAACGCCGCTTGATCCCATCGGATTCCAGACACAGTGAAGAACGCCAATCCCTGGATCGAGAGTTGCACAAGAGTCTGTAAATGGACCGCGAAGCTTGGTGGTGTGAACGTGCTAGGGAGATGGAGCTTGCTAGTCTCTCTGGTAATACCAGAAAACTTTTCCATCTCATTCGAGTCACCGAAGGTGTTCGATCTGTTATAAGTGAAACTATATGCGAAGAGGATGATACCTTAATCACCAATCTTCAACGACGGTTGGAGCGATGGGCCGAACATTTTGGCTTGCAGTTTTGTTGGCCCCCAGCTCCATCTACTACCTCTGGCACTCGCGCTGGCGCTGAGTGATCTACGCACACAGATCCTCCCTCTTCTTAGGAACTCGGGCAAATAAAGCGTTATAAAGTCCCCGGCCCTGATGGTATTCCTCTGGCTCTATTGGAAAATGGTGGCGCTTAGCTAATTCGAGAAGTCACCGCTTTGTTCTCGAACATTTGGTCGAAAGAGAAAGTTCCATCATCTTGGGGTGAATCCACAGTCGTCCCCATCTTCAAAAAGGGCCTGTGCACAATCTGCTCCAACTACAGAGGCATAAGCTTAGTACCCGTCGTTTGCAAGCTGCTAGTGTCCATCATACTTCGCAGGCTATCCCCAACGCGTAATTCGTTGCAACGAGAAGAATAAGCTGGGTTTCGCTCTGGTCGCGGCTGCATCGATCAAATATTTACACTCCGCCAAATCCTCGGGCTCCGCCAATTGTATCAGAGGCCAACAATTGCTGTGTTCCTGTGGCACTGTCTACTGACGAATGGTGTCCCCGAGAAGTTCGTCTCCATACTGCGCGCTCCCTATAGTCTGACCACGGGCAGGGTTAGGGCTTACGGCAAACTTTCGCCTATCTTTGTGGTCTCCAGTGGAGTTCGACAATGATGTCCTATCTCTCCGTTCCTATACCACCTTGCCATTGAGGATGTCCTGAAGAACGCTCTGGGCGATTCATTGAACGCTGGCGTTGAGCTCTTCCCAGGTAGTTGAGTTGTTGATTCGGACTATGCTGATGATATCGTCATGCTGGGTGACGATCCACACGTCGTCCAACTTGCACTAAACCGCTTGGCGATTGAAACACCAAAGTATGGTATGTACTTTTCGCCATCCAAATGCAAGGCTCGCTTCGAAGACTGGAAGGTGCCTCTGCCTGCATTCACTCTTGGTGGTGACCCACTAGAGGTTGTGGGTAGCTTTGTCTACTTGGGAAGATGCATTACTGCTGGCGTGGCTGTTGGAGAGGAGATTTCGAGGCACATATCAATTTTTCTAGGCTGAGATACTTGTGACGTCACCACGACATTTGTTTCTCCATCAAATGACGGGTCTACTGTGCAACTATCCGTGCTGTACTGTTGTACGGAGGCGCGACTTAGCCCATTCGTAAAGATGACTTGCGCAGAATACCCATCTTCGAGTACCGCTGTCTGCAGACCATTGCCCGTGTGTGGCGGCAGCACCACGTAAGCAATGTGGAAGTTAGCCACTCGCTCGAGGAGCTCGTCTCAATGCATCAACTGCGGTGGTTGGGACACGTATTGCGCATGCCTGTCCAGGGTTGCCCGCGTCGTGCGTTGTTTGTGGTTGCTGAACAGGACTGGAAGAGACTGTCTGGTGGGCAGTCTACAATATGGAGAAGCCGCATGAAAAAGCTGACGAAACAGTCGGCCTCGGCCGGTTGTTGTCGACAACCTGGTTGGGGTCCGAGAGATGCGGAGACCTGCTGGTTGAAGACCTTGGAAGCCATGGCTGAAGATCGATGTCAATGGCGGACGTGTGCATCGGTGTCCCTTCTGCTTCCCCCTAAAAAAGAACAAACTGAAAATATTTCAAAAACGGTGAGTGGTAAACTGGACAAAAATAGATTTTGTTGTTGTTGCTCTTTTCTTATTATTCATACTGTTTTCCTATCCAGTCATGATTCTGATGGCACAACATCTGTACCACAGAGTATATATATATATATATATATATATATATATATATATATATATATATATATATATATATATATATATATATATATATATATATACTTCGGTAAAGCCTTTGATAAAGTGAAGCATGAGATCCTGCTCCAGAGACTGAAGAAATGTGATGTCGGTGGTGCACTGCACCAGTAGATCAGTGACTTCCTCATTGTGAGAAGATGGCGGGTTCAGCTGGATGACCACCTAACGGATGGATACCCACCACTAGTGGTGTACCCCAAGGCCTAGTGATGGGGCTCATTTTGTTTCTGACGCACCTCAACGAAGTACCTCATCCTCTTCGGTCGCGCTACGCATTAGTTACAGAAGACTTGAAGATGTGGAGGATTGATTCTTCCGGCGACTGTGACGTCCTTCTATAGGACTTCGACCGCCAGTCCCGGTGGTTTGCAGTTGATCTACCAGTAACCCAGGCCAAGTCCTAGTTAATGAGCCTGGGGAGGGGTGGTAATGAGCGTGTGTACACACTGACCGGCCACCAACTGTATCCCACCAGTGCCGCAAAAGATCCAGGCGTACTCCCATGCTGTGCTCTGAAGTATGTCGACAACACGAAAACTGTACGCAAACAGACTACGCTTGCTATGGGCATTTAGACGCAGCTTCTACACTTCGTTGGAAGCGATTGCCACCTGTCTGTTATCTTCCATGAGAAGACCAGTGCTTGAGTACGGCTCACCCACCTATCGTCCGACCACAATAGATGAGGTGCAGAGACTGGAACGGGTCCGGCATGTAGCTACCCAGCTCATCCCAATTCACGGGGTGTCATACGAGGACCGATGAAGAAGACTAGGACTTTACACCCTGTCATATCGTCGACTTCGAGTTGATCTCATTATGAAGCACCGGATACTACACCTGGGCCATTTCCTTATGTTGAAGCCGCCGCTGCACGTCCGCGCACCAAGCAGCACACGCAGACACTGATACGAACTAGTGGTACCGGATTTAAAGCATATCGCTCAGCCTCTACGTTTCCAGCATCGAGTGGTGAAATAGTGGAACAATTTGCCGGAGACGTTAGTGGAGGCGAAATCGGTGTTGGAATTTAAGATTCCTTGACGCCCAGTTTGCGGACTACAGGTATAGGGAGCGTATCGTACCCGGATAAAATGTAGTGCATCTGCAATATGCTGTCACTGGGCAGGAATCAGTGGAGCGATTCAGTGCAGGTGTCCGACCTAACTACGACGAAACAACACATATTTTTATCTGCGCGCTCTCTATTCTCAGTATTCAGTATTAGACTTAACCAAAAGTCACTTTAACGTAAACAGCCAAATGACATTCAAAGCCTAATAATAAATGGACGGCGGAATATGAGTTCGTTGCTTCAGAGGTGCCACCTTATGTTGCGACCAATGTGAGCTGATGGTACTCAAGGTACATAATGCTCAGGTGTGGTGGTAGCACAAAGTTTAGAATGTTAAGGTCCGACAGCTGGTGTTCCGAAATAAAACGTAATGTGAATTTAACGAGTACCAGCCTACCGTGGCGTACACACTGTGCGATGAAAAGCAGTGAAACGTCTGGAACGTTCAAACTACGCGGCTTTCTAGAAAGAAGACAGCAGTATAGGTATGAGTGGATGACCTGATCAGCGTAGCGCCATGTGACCATGTGACGAACTTGTTCTTTTTTCTGGCTCACGATTTATCAGATCGTGTCTGATCAATTGTTGTCGATCGACTTTTTGCGTGCTTCGCACCACAAAGATAAGACTTACCGAGGCTTTCTCAGGCTGAGGAGTTACACCGGCAGGGGTGCAAAGTCCATTTGTATCGTCGCATTGCATGCCTTGTGGACAGCAATGCCCACTTGAGCAACATACGGCCTAAATGGAGGAAACAAAAGGAGGACACGAATGAGACACAAGTTTGATGAGCAAAGCGTGTGCGAACACATATGGTGCAGTTTTGCTGAAGCGCGATTTATGAAAACAGCAAGATGAGGGAAACCAAAAGCGCGTATAAATGAGTGGGATAATTTGAAGTTTTTATTCAGATACTGATGCGGAGCAAGTCAGAAAATAGGAGAGAAAGAGCTAATAAGACAAGTGCTTCGTAGGCTTAAGTCGGAATAGAGAAGAAAACTGCAGAATTTTCGGACAGGGAAGAAATTAGAATATTCATCTCAATAAATGAAAGGGAAAATTAAGGGGTATTCAAATATGAAGAGTTCGGTGTAAACTGGCAAGCCAAAGGTTCAAGTGTGACCAAAGTGTTGGACATGAAACACCGATAGAAGTCCGTTGGATTAGACACGTACAGAATGTGGAGCACATGAAGTTAGACTGACTTATGGCCGCATGATGGTTATTCGGCAAACAATGCAGCGCGTAGGATCAACGAAATTGCTAGATCAGGAACAAGTGGGGGATAACAGACACGACGGCACTACAGAAACAAAGTTGCGTAAGGTAAGGGTGATTAGTACGATGCTGGCTACAATGCGAGGCAGGTTGGATAAAGGATCGATAGAACTGAAAAAAGCTTGTTAATGTGTCCCTGAACACGAGTTCCGTCATGCGCAGCATGTGCAAGAAAAAAAAACAATGAAAACTTACGCTTGGATAGGGACAACATGCGTCCACGCCAGAAGAGTCCTTACAGCAAGTTCCGTGGGGGCAGGCGACTAGACCACCGGGGCAAGCACCCTGCATATGTTGTGACGAATCCATAGACGTTGCAAACTGATTCGGTCGATGAGACGTGGAACGCACACAACGATGATTCTCAAGGTCGCATACAGTGTCAGGTGGGCAACAGTGCTCCTTATCTGGACAGCAGATGGCCTAAGAGAAAAGCAGAAAAAAAGGGTCAATACTAAGAGGTTCTCAATAAGAAAACTGAAGTGACGTGGATCTAGTATCCATGACACAAATGGTAATGGAAATATAAAGCGAAGGTAGAAGAACAGAGAGGGAAATATGAAACAACACAAGCGTAGAAAAAGACGAACGCCAAAAATATTGCACAGATTTGGCAATAAACCACAACGGACTGAATGGAAGACTGCCATCGAGTTCGCGGTGCCCAAGCACTGATGTCGTTGATTGGGACCCAGATAAGTCACGACTAATTTCGTTCGATTGTGTTACCGTGTTGGTGACTGCCTTAGTACGCAACCTCGCCAGAAAGGCAAGTGATAGCTGCATGAAGCACATGAACCAACTAAAAAAACAGGCGGTGCATGCATGGAACACGATCAAGTGCTGATCCGAGTTTGGTGCCAAAAAGCAAAAGGTGCACCTCGGCGTCAAATTTGATCGACCCATCAATACCTTAAACCAGCACGGTCGCGTATCTGGTGCATAAAATAACGGTGACCTTAGCGCGGTAATTTGCATTCGACCGCCAGACGATGAGTTGACATTCCTTGCCGAAATCAGAGACAAACGTTGAAAAATGACGCCGTATCAAAAAAATGACGGCAGTAACCTCCTGCCAGTTAGATCACTGGTAGTGATAGCTGAACCACCAGAAGTCTGCGTCCATCAGCTACCTGCTGAGAATGGGTATTGGTGCTGTGTCGGCGTACGATAATAAAAAGGATAAGAATAAAATAATAATGTACCATTTTCCATCAGACGAGAAGCGGGCGCAAGTTAACGAATCGAAACATATGCGGAAAATGGTATCACGGAACATTATCAGCACTACGCAAGGCAGCAAACAAGATGGCGCGAGCAATTACGTGAGCCAGGTCTAGCGCGGAGCGACTAGATCAAAGAAATAAGCTACAAACAGGTTGGGGACCTCAAGTGAAAGAAACAAGGTCTCAATACCGGCTGGTCCTCACGATGTACGACTGACGATCCCGAATAATCTAGCACCCAAGTTGGCTGATCAGTGTTATAGTGAGATCCAGCGTATATTCGGACAATAACAACTTGGTGGTACGTGGCTAGAGGTAGTGCAGAAGCATGCTGGAGTATATGGATTATATGCTGGAGTATAAGCCGTAACCTCTTTGGAAACACAAGCAAATGCTAGGAAGCTGATGGTCCCTTAAATTTACCATGCAATTTAAAGTGCAAGAGAAGGGAAATAAACCGTATAAAGGAAATCGGAACTTAACTTGGCGCTGCCCGCGCATCTAGTCGATTTATAGTGTTGGTGCTCATGAGAAAGATAAAATTAACTTATACCAGAATGGTCAATGCAGTCACCTGATCGGCTAGGTCAAGAACTGGAACCGAAGCGCTACTAGTATCTAGGAAAACACTCCGTAGTGCGGATCGTCGCCACATTCCTACTGCTATGTAATAAGATGTCCGACCGAAAGACTGGTTAGGCGACCTAATTCTTCGCGTTTAAGAACGTTAAGGTTCTGGTAGTAACCCAGCCTATATGCAAACATGATTATTTCACCAAACTTCAGTCAAAGCCTACAGTAGATGTCGCGTGGCAGCAGAAGGGCACGTATAGCTGTTGCACACAGCAGGCGCATAAGTGAAAAAAGATTACCACCCAAAATACACAACCCTTTTTTAAGTGCGCTAGCCGACCCCATTGTCCACTACTTCTTGTGATCCAAAAGGTAAGTGATGGGAGTTGTAACAATATACTGAGGTTTTACTATCTGCAGCCATATTGCCAGGCTCTCAGACCATCGAAACATACTAAACGAGACCATAATGTTTTTGGTCGCGTTCAACAAACCAAGTTGATAGATCAACAAAGTGCATCTGAAGAACGCCAAGTAAATTGGGTACGCCCATGCGATGCGTCTCCGAGACGAGTTATCTCCACATGGTCATCGAATTAACTAACCCACGCTGTACACTCGACACTGGTTACAAACATTGAAAATGCTAATGCTCGTGGGCTGATTATTTCTTAGGGAACGGAAATCCCACTGTCAGCCGCATAATTCATTTGACAATGTCCGCTAGGTCTAGCGAGCTGAAACGTGCTCGCAGCTGCTGCCTGTTCTCTAACTGGCAGCAATCCTGTTGCTTCTAAAGATACTTCTTACCACGAATTAAGCGTGCCACTATGCAATGCTGCTGGTTTAGTTTTGTTGCAGAAGAATATGGATGTGCAGGTAGAGCGTCTAAGCTTTTCAGAAAGTCATTCTGGCGTGAGTCCAATGTCCAATTCCCAGCAGTCGGACAATGGCAAGCATTATATGCCAATGTACACCGATTACCACTGGTTTCCAAGCAGGGCTATCTTCGGATACAGTGGATGATGACGTGCCAGTTGACATCCTCTGGCAGATGGTCAACGATGGGTCAAAATAAACTACACCATCAAAAGCTTCAGGCGGAGCGGTTCCATTATTGGCTACAGAGTAGGTTCCCATTAGGTCACAATCTGACTGCACACAGCTGCACAGAGTAGTACACTAATCCTCCACCTATTAAATCTGAGGGATACCAGTGTCGACAGAATAGTACTTGCATTTTCATGCATGGCACCCGAAACTTTGCTCACGAGGCTATCGGTCATCGCCACACTACACATTAGATTTCCGAAGAAGTTGATGTGCCTTAAGGAAATTAGAGTGAGAATATCTGACTGCCCTGATCACGATGAAGCCATTTGATCCAGCACCTGCAAGCTATAACGAAGTCTGCAAGCAGATAAAAAAATGTGGTGGACTTCGAGGGCGTAGAAATAAAGGAATCCAAGGGAGCTGAGTGAATCCCGTAAACTGACCCAACTTGGCCGCGCCACTAGTGCCCGTAGAAGCATCCGTCAACCCAAAAAGTAATAACAGAAACAGTGATCCCATTTGAAGTGGAAACACAGTATGGAGGAGTGAGCTGAGTATTTTCGGGAGCATCTCATCTGGCTTCCTGTTCTTGGTCCGTTTCGAACCCGGCGGTGGGGTTGCACCATGACCAGTCAGATAAGAGAATACGTCAGAACCAGAGATTCGACGCGTAGAAACAGCATCCAAGCATGTCCGCACTGAGAATCCAGATTATTTTCTACCCTCGCGATTTATAACGGCTGTAAATTGACTCACCTAGTTGAGTAAGTATAAGACTGTCCCAGTCGATTGGGTAGGATCGAGCACAGCGACAATATTCAAAAACCGTGGCAATTTTATTGCTTACCAAACCTTAATATCGGTACTGACATGCATTGGCCCATATTCTCGCTTAATATCTTGCTGTGTAATGCGAAGCTTGGATGAACAAGCAGGTTTCCGAGCGGAACCGGGCTATACATATTAATTTGGTTCATCGTAATTAGATTATAAGCCGCAAAGGTCAAATAACTATTCGGAAAAGCACCAGACCATCGTATCGTCCTAGTGGAGCTCAGCAGTGGTGCGTCAACCCCCGGCCCCCTACTGGGGACCGAACCCATGACAGCTAGTGACTTGTACCACTGGCCGGCAATTTATGCCACTGAGCAATTAGGGACGATGGCCTCACATCACAGATTGAAATCTAACTGCGATGTAACCCGACCCATATTTTCCCTTTGCGGAAGGTTGAGGGTTAGTGTAAAACGTACCGCAGGCCAATTCAAAGTGCCATACTGCTCGATAATGCTGTTTAAATGAAATATGCCAACACGATACGGTTCCTGCACCCGAAACGCTAGATGGTATCAGGGTTTAGAGAGAACCATCAAACACCGTTCCGACAAAAAGCAGCGTCCGATAAGGTTGTCAAGTTCATCGATTAATGCGCCATGTTAGCCTACACTTGTGCACGAAATGGATACCTTTGGACGCACACACCGCAAGTTTTGTGGTCCCACTCTGCTAGTTACTAAGAGCGTAGGCATAATTAACTTATGATAAATCCCTCCAGACCACGGCTCTTCTCTGGCACTCAAGTTAGATTTTCGAAGTGCACAGCGCTGTTGCAGGGCGACAAGTGAATTATCTTTTTCAGATTTAATTAAGAAAAATACACGACATCCGACTATATCATCTGTCATATAAATTGCATTAACAGGAAATGTTGCGCCAATGCTCATGCTAGTTAATGTTTTGTGAGATCCAGAACGGCATTTGTGTGCTCGCGACATCATGGGTACCAAAGTAGGAGTACACAGTAATGAAGTAAAGGTCCCCATTTTATAATGTTATGAGAAACAGACCATGCGAAATGTGATCTCGAATATCTACAAGTCGGTGATGTGTTGTAGGTGTGCAATGTTATCTGTAACGGGTGGCGACAGCGCCGAAATGAAGTGCGCAAGTGAGCCTTAGGGGGGGAGGACCATTGTGTCAATTCTGGTAAGCGCTACTAATGTAGGCTCGTCGTCTATCAAGAAGGACTGTTTTGTTTGTCAGGTATAGGACGTTGCACGACCCGTAGTTTAAAGGTGACAGGCTTGTCTTGTAATCTGGCGGCGCCGGTTGGAGCCTGCGTACGGGCAGGGGACCCTCGCAGTACCCTTAACCCACGTGCGACCAGTGGTGAATGCGCGGCAGCGAAGCGTCAGTACTGCGTACTGGCGTACTGCTGATGTCTTTGCCTTTTATAGGTTTTAGGTTCGACAAAAAACATTCGTCGACTTTATGGTTGGGAATGAAGACATCGATGAGTAAACTGGGTTTCCTTGGCTTTTCCCGAATTCCGGGGTGATATCCACAAGAGTCGGCCTGCGTTTGATTTGCAGTATCACGGTATACGGCAAACAACTAGCGTCTTTGTTGCAACGAATGAAATATAACCTGGTGCTTATACACAATCTCATGAACCAAAAAGACATACTCCTATTTGGGCACATTATGCTTGCGACATAACTTCATTTGGAAACTTGGAAGAAACTTGTGAACTGATTGTGCCAATTACCAGGACAGGTTTTCGTAAGAACTTCTTTCTCGTCAAATACACCATGTGGAATAGCCTACCAATCAAGATCGGGTCCTGTACGTGCGCTAGAACACCCCTCATTAAACTTGGAAATTTCCCGGACCAGAACTTGATGATGATCACGTTCTCATGGGGCGAAAGATCAAATGAGTTTTTTTCAGAATAGACTAAGGAATATATGACCAATGAGAAAAGATGCTGTAGAAAATTCAGTACCAATAAGACTGTGTTTTAGAATGCCTTGACACAAACTCTCCAGAATAAATACATCACTCATGCATGATCATTACCGTACTAATGATCGCTCCCTTATCCATGGACAGCTTCTAGCACAATCGAGAAATATATGCATTACAATTATAAGCATACTAGCGTACAACTATCGAGGATGGTGCTGACGAAAGACCGTTTACGAGATGCCACCAAAATACTCCGATACATGGAGGTAAGGTATGGAGAAACATAAGTGACTGTTCAATAGTGGAATAGATGGTCGAAATACTTATCCGTTTGTTTTGCCTGTAAGTAGGTTACCCCTAGAGTACTCCAAGACAGAGCAAAACAGTTAGAAAGGATGATAGCAACGACTTACGTCCTCAAAAGGGCAACAATTCCAAACCCCATTCCCAGACGGACAGCAAGTAGATCCATTATCGCAGCCGAACTCTGCGCCGGGGCAAGTGACGCCGCTTCCAACTGCATACGCACTAGTTTTCTTTACACATTCACCATCCTTCGGGTCGCACTGATAGCCTTTAGGGCAACAGTGTAAACCATCGGAGCAGCACACAGCCTGGATAATAACAGTGTGGAAGAAAACAAATCAGAGTTGCAGCCGATTGTATGGCGGATAAGATTAGATAGCAATCACACGCAAAAGGTTTACTGAAGGGTCGTGTACATTAACACACTACGCGTGAATGGATTACAACGCCCAATCACAGTGCGGACTGCGTTTCACGGTGTAGTGAACTTTGGAACCGTGCGTAAAGCGGTTAAATGTCGGGCGTTCCTTACTCATAACACTGCACTCCATGATTGGTTTCCTATGGGTTTAGTCTTCAAGTATAGATAGCAATGCAGCGGTTCGAAATCAGGGCGCTTGGGGATCCCAGCGAAGCATGTACCCCTAAGACACCAAAACGCCTTCATGCGATTACAGAACTGTGCTAACTATCTAGATTCGGCCTGCTAATTAGAAGAAACAACGCGCAGCTGGTGACAACACTTTCAAGGGAAGAAACTAGAAACTGTGACAACTTACATCAGGAAAAGGGCAACAGCCCCAAGATTTGCTCGGCATCTGGCAGCAAGTTTGATCGTCTTGACAGCCGGACTGCTGGTCCGGGCACAGATAATTGGTTGGCACAAAAAACGCAGGACGAACAACATCCGTAGTTCGTGGTACATCGATGTTGTCGCTGTAACTGGACGTACAACGTCCAGCCTTAGAATCACAATTTGTACCTTTGGGACAACAATGCAGTCTATCAGGGCAACAAACGGCCTGTAAAGAAAAAGGGCCCAATAAATAAAATAAAAGAAGTTGGAAGGAACCTTTCTTCAAGCGCAGTAACACACAACTAATCGGAAGGCATCAACCTTGAAAGCTCGATGTCATTCTTGCCAAAGAAAAAACCTTCCAAGTCGTCGTTAGTCGAAGAGCTGGTTAAAGCCTTTGGATACCAGACAACAGAAAGAACATAAAATGGTGAACGGTTGGGGTAATAGAGTTCCTATGACATTCAAAATCTTAAATACAGTCCAAGGTATTGTTGTTAGAGACGCTTCCAAAGTGCACCGTGCGAAATAAGACGGGGGTTTCTTGCATCAGTAAATCCCAAAGGGGACCATGGTATGTAAACGAAAGAAAAACCCCCCAGCATTGAATGAGTACTGGGAAGGGAAGTGTGAAATCTGTCAAAGGCTAAAGTAGCATCCACGGTGGTGGACGCGTCGCAGCTAACTTGTGCGTACCAATGGATGCTCATAAGAGTGCCGCAAAACACAGGGAGAATGGGGTAGCTAAATCAAAACAGAAAGTCAAGCTAACTCAAAGAGTGCTTACTTCTGGCAGCGGACAACAGGCGAAACTATCATCGGTCCCGGGGCAGCAAGTTGTCTCAGAGGGACATGCATAATGTTTATCGTCGCATATCGTTCCTTGACGATCCGTTGGGATCCCCGTGGTTTGATTGATAGTCATAGTGACTTTTTGTGTTTGTTGTATCAGATAAGGAGATTTCCCGGCCTTTGGTGCAGTGATGGTGCCAGAGAAAAACGTGTCAATGGCAATAACCTTCGATTGGCTGACAGCTTCACATCGCTTGGTTTCGTGATTACATGTTGTACCACTAGGGCAGCAATCGGATTCATCAATGCAGCAAGCGTTCTGAGAATGAAGATGAAGATTAGGCAAACATGTGAGCGAGGATTGACAATAAGACAACAAGTCTAGAAAGTGGATCGCAAATAAATGTATAGTGCCCGCGGCCAACGCGTAGTAGTTAATATTTGCAAAAGAATTTTGAATGCACCAAAACAGACTTGCGAATGAGGGGTATTTAGTAGGACATCAGAAACATAAATTCGCAAGTTTACTGACAAGCGGCATATATATATATATATATATATATATATATATATATATAGCGCGAGAGCCTATGATGCGCTGAGTCTGATTGTAGCTAGATCCTGATAGATGATCTACCCACTGCTGCGTCGTTGGCTCATGTCCTGGACGCCTCCTCGTGGCGACCGTTGGGTCAGAGTTGGGTTTCGCCTTTCTTTCTGCTAAGACCCATGACAACAATCCGCATGAGTCAGTGAACTGATCATATGTTAGACCCGCTGCCTTTTGGGTGTACATTTAATCGAAGGCTTTGTCTGAGGACCAGAGTCGTTCTCCTGTCAGGTGTGAGCGCCCTGCCAGTATACTACTCCATCCTCTTCGGAGGTTAGGAAGTGGTCGATGGCCTTCTTCCCGTAAAACCTAGCCATGGGAGACAACTGGTCTACGGGTTATAAGCTCACAGCTCAATTGGTGTAGAGCACGAGCGCCACACATTGTCTCTGACGGTGGGATGGCACCTCCGGATGTTCAATGGTTTGCTACTACCCGCCTCAAGCCAGGCAGCCCCTGATTAAATTGGTGCAAACCCGCCAAAACCCACCTGCGTCTGGCCGTGGTCGCAGGTGCGTATCCAACTACGGTTGCAAAATATATATAAATCGTTCCATTACCTCCAAAGCTGAGTGTGACGGCCGTCAAGCAGATCCCAATCTGTCTTTGCAATCACATTCCCGAGCTGGATCTGCTCCACACTGCCTGGTGGGTCAGGCTATTGAGCCAAAGGCTCCGGGTGGAGTCACTCAAGCAAACCTCCGAAGCACAACGATCATCTCGCGTGCGATGGCCCACCAATGCAATCGCATGCCTACGCGCAAAGCACTCAGCATCGGGTGCTGGAACGTGCGCACACTACTGGACCGGAACTCCAGCGAGCGCTCGGGGCGACGCACTGCACTCATCGCGATGGAGCTGGCGCGCTACCACATCGATATTGCGGCGCTCAATGAAACTCGGCTCGCTGAGCAAGGTAAGTTGCATAAAGCAGGTGCTGGCTACACATTCTACTGGGTGGGCAACGCCGTCTCAGCACCACGTGATCATGGGGTCGGATTTGCAATATCCGATCGCCTCCATGGCCAGTTCGTGGGTGAACCAACAGGCATCAGCGCGCGACTGATGACTGTTCGCCTAAGACTCGGAAGAGGTAAGTTTGCTACTTTTATAAGCACGTACGGGCCGACCATGTGTTATCCTGATGACACGCGTGATCAATTCTACACTCAGCTATCCTCCGTGATACGGCCTGTGCTGATGAGCGACCGACTATTTCTGCTGCATGCTTTCAACGCACGCATTGGGCGTGATGCATCGGTGTGGACAGATGTTATCCGTCCGCATGGCATTGGTTCAGCGAAGGTGAACGGTGACAGGCTGCTCTCACTGTGCGCTACTCACGGCCTGGCGATCACGAACACTCGGTTTGCACTGAGTGCGAGTGATAAAGCAACTTGGACGCACCGACGGAGTGGTCACGCTCAACTGCTCGACTATGTCATCGTACGTCAGCGTGATATGCGTGAAGTGCGCATGATACATGTACTACGCGGAGCTGAGTGTGGCACTGATCACAAATTGGTACGGACCAAACTGTACATATATTTTCGTAAATATATGTATTGCACTCCCGCCGTGAACCGGCGTAAATTTAACATTCTCTCCCTCGGTACTGTGCGAAACGTACTGAGCTGGAGAAGGCGATGGCTGCACGCCTGTGTGATGTGGACTGCATAGCCACAGTGGGCGACCTGTGGCACCACATTCGCGACCAGGTGACAGCTGCTGCCGAGGAGACCATCGGGCGCGCAAATTGTAAGTGGCCTTATTGGTTTGATGAGAACAATGCGACGATCGGCGCATTGGTTTGGAAGAAGAATGCAGCATTTGCTGCACATGTCGCAGATCCCAGTGACTTGGGGAAGAATAGTCAGTTTCGCAAACTTCGACAGCGACTGACCCGAGAGCTCCGTCGCATAAAAAATGCATGGTAGACGGAGAAGGCGAAGCAGATGGAATGCTACGCCGAACACCGCCAACACAAGGAATTCTTCGACTCCTTGAAGGCGGTGTATGGACCGAGATTGGAGCCGCTGAGGACACTGATCGATGGTAGATCAGGCGCTACCTGCACACAGACTGCAGACATAATGCAGATCTGGCGAAATAACTTTGACTGTCTCTTGAACAACCGTTCAGAGATCGACTGGCCTACATTGAACGGCCTGAAGCAGCACGATGTGAAGGCGGATCTGGCGGATACGCCGACACTGGATGAGACGCAGAGAGCACTTGCTCAGCTGCGAAACGGCAAATGTGCCGGAGCCGACGGGATCCCACCTGAAGTATTGAAACACGGTGGACCCGCGTTGTTGACTGCGCTGCACCACTTGGTGCAACGTGTATGGATTGAGGAGGAGGTGCCTCCTGAGCTGAAGGATGCCCTTGTGCTACCACTGTACAAGGGCAAAGGTAGCAATCAATGTTGCACGAATTATCGTGGCATCAACTTGCTGAGTTGTGTGGGCAAGGTGATTGCCCGAATCCTGCTCAACCGCCTCGTCAGTCAGGTTGTGGAACCTAACGTGGCGGAAGAGCAGTGTGGATTCCGTTCGGGTCGCAGCACTATAGATATGGTGTTTGCGGCTCGTCAGTTGCAGGAGAAGTGCAGAGAACGACACCAGTCTTTGTACTCGCTTTTTGTTGTTTTCACCAAGGCATTTGATACGGTGAACCGCGAGGCATTGTGGCTGGTGTTGGGTAAGTTTGGTTGCCCGCGTAAGTTGATACGTCTAATTGAATGTCTGCACAGTGGTATGCGGGCGAGGGTGCAGCTGAGTGCAGAGACCTCGGATGACTTTGCAGTTGTCTCTGGTGTGAAGCAAGGCTGTGTCTAAGCTCCTGCCCTGTTTAATATATACCTTCATGCATTGATGTCTTGTGCTTTTGATGCGGCTTGTGCTTACGGTGTTCGTGTGGAGCACCGTATTGATGGTGGGTTGCTGAACATCCGTCGTTTCGGTGCGAGAACTCTAGTCTGTGAGACAACTATCCGTATGTTGCTGTTTGCTGACGACTGTGCGTTGTTTGCACACAGCGCGGATGAGTTGCAGCACATGACTAGTGCTCTGGCTTAGACAGCGGCCAAATTCGGGCTCACCATCAACACAAGCAAAACTGTCTGTCTCTTTCAGCCTTCACCGGAGGTGCGATCTTCAATATTGCCGCGAATCAGCATTGGTGCCGAAGTATTGGAAACCACCTCCCGCTTCTGCTACCTTGGGAGTGTGATGTCGACTGACCAGCAGATGCACAGTGAGCTACGTATCCGCGTGTCGAAGGCAGCGACGGCATTCGGGAAGCTAGAGTACCGAGTGTGGAACAACCATCAGCTTACCATTGGCACGAAGCTGATGGTGTACAAATCCATGGTGCTGTCCGTTCTTCTATACAGCAGTGAAACGTGGACGATGTACCGGCGGCATGTGCGATATCTCGAGCGGTTCCATCAGCAGTGTCTGCGACGGATTTTGCGCATCGGATGGGACGCCAGAGTTGCAGACGCAGAAGTGTTGCGACAAAGTGGGTTGTATGCAGTGGACTGCATACTTTTACTGAAACACCTGAGGTGACTCGGTCATGTGAGCCGTATGGATTCGACGCGGATACCGAAACAACTCTTATATGGTCAGCTGAGTATTTGGAAGCGGCATGTGGGGAAACCAAAGTTACGTTACCAGGACATGATCAATGTGAGCCTCTCACGTTCTAGTCTTGATTGCAGGTCATGGGAATCAAAGGCGGTTGATCGGCGTGCATGGCGCGATCTAATCACGAAGGCAGTTGCCGAAATGCGGAAAATAGACCTCATACATGCAGAG